GAAATCGGACAACCCTGACGAACGCCACTTGTAATCGAAAAGCTATCCGATAGGACACCGTGGACCCTTACGCGGCCTGTAGTGTTCGAGTATAGAGCACGAAGGATGTTCACATATTTCGTGGGAACACCTTTTCGCGCAAGTAATTCGAACAGAATCGACCGAATCGAACGCACTCTTGAAATCGAGGAACACAGCTATTGTCGGTCTGCGGTATGCGTGGCGCTGCTCTATCATCTGCCGCAAGATAAATATATGGTCTATACAGCCACGTCCTGGGCGAAAACCGGCCTGCTCTTCCCTAATCCGAGATTCCCGTTCCGCAGTGAGGCGACGAACGATAATCGAGGCCAGTAATTTTGTCACGACTGGCGTTAGGCTAATACCCCTGTGGTTCGCACAGTCTGTGCGACTGCGCTTCTTGTATGTTGCCACTATAAACGATTCGCTCCAACTAGCCGGGACACTTCTTTCCAGATAGATTCGAATAAGGTCAGTGCTTAGCAGAGGACCTCACCTCCATCCTTAAATAGTGCAGGTGGGAGGGAATCCGGGCCAGCAGCACGAAAACGATTGAGGGCTGTGATCGCGTTTCGGACTTCGGCCTCCGACGGAGGCTCTAAACTAACCGTCCATGGCAGGTCCTGCATCAGTTGAGTAGGAAGAGGTCCGGGAGCAGGGGGCCAGCTGAACTGATGTTCAAAGTGTTCAGCCCAACGAGCCATACGGCGCTCCTTATTGTGTATCAGCGCACCCGCGCTGTCTCTGATTGTCTCACTGACGCCTGGTTTCCTGGGACCAGTGGTGCGGATAAGCTGGAAGAGCTTCCGGTAATTGCCTACTGCTCCTGCCTCCTCCATTTCTTGAGCCCGACTGGTCCACCAGGCTTCCTTGTCAGCAGGTAGGCTGTGCTTTAGTTCACGCCTAATAGCCCGTCTGGTCACATTGTGTTCAGAACCAGCCGGGAGGTGTCTTCTAGATTCCAACAGGTTCACGGACCTCTCGGATATCCAGTGACTGGTGCGGTGACGACTGATAGTGCCACAAACTGATGCTCCTGCGTCGAGCATGGCGGCCGAGATTCCACTGATGCTCAATGTCATTAGGACAAGACAGCGGAAGTTCAGTACGTAGTGCGTCTTGATAGGCTTGCCTGACCGAGGGCTGGGACAATTTCTCCGTTGTTAATCGGAGGGGACGCTTTGTACGCCTTCCGGTAAAGTTCATGGAGAAACGACAGCGTACCAAGGCATGATCAGAATCGACACAGGTACTCCAGTACGAGCGGCAATCCAGAATGGAACCGCGCCACCTGTAACTTATGGCTATGTGGTCGATTTGGGTCCATCGCTGGCCAGCTACAGGTGGACGCCAAGTGGCACTTCGGCACCCACTGTGTCTAAAAGCAGTGCTACTAAGAAACAACTGGTGCTCCGCACACAGTTGCAGCAGACGCTCGCCGTTGTCAGTCCGTTCAGAGTTAAGTCCATAATTACCACCCAGCTGAGCTTCTGAAGAGCTCAGACGCCCTACTTGTGCGTTCATATCCCCTGCAAGTACTATAATATCTGAACTGGTAGCACTGCTTAGTATGGCGTTCAGTTCGTGATAAAAAGTGTCCTTGACTGCATTAGAACTGCAGTCGGTAGGAGCATAAACGGAAATCACAAACAAACAGCGTTTTGTTTTGCTTCGCGAATTCACCTTAGCTGATGTCGTCAAACGGGCTGCACATAAACGACTGTTCACCGGAATCCAATCAACCAACGATGGTTCAGCCTTGGAGCTGAGAATGATACCTACACCAGCTTGGCCCGTGAGTGCCGCATCGGCGTCTTCGGATGCGTGCAACCAATAACGAGAGGATAAGCCGGGTGCAGTTAGTTCAATAACCCTGTTAGGGTCATTAATCCTAGTTTCGGACACACAACACACATCAACACCCAGTGTGTCCAAGGTGCGTGCGAGTGCAGCCTGCTGACCTGTTTGTCTTAGAGTGCGGACGTTGAATGTCGCCATGGAAACGGGACAGCGTGGTCTTATAAGGGACTTTTGCCGATAGGCGTCCGATAGGTGCTGTGGGATGGTGGCTGCAGATGGTTCTACTCCAGTAGCATTTCGGTTGCTGTCAATTAAGCTGGGAATTATAGAAGGAAGGTTAGTAATGGGGTCCGGAATGGGAGTAAGAGAAAAAGGTGGAAAAGAAAGAAGGGAGGCGCCAGCAGTAGCATGTTTTCGCTTATCCGCCCTGCTGTATGCAGCAGATAAGGCGACCCTTAATAATCTGCGCGACGGCCGATGCAGGATGAAGTTTATGTTTGAAGAAAATGTCATGGTTTTATGTGGGCTGAGATACTGCCAGGGCGCCCAGACCTAGACAGGAGAACGATTAGGGTCCTCATTTAAAGCCTTTGGCTCAAAAGCCTGTCCGCAAGGCAACGGGGAGGTGGAAATGATTTAGTTTTACAGAAATGGACGCCATCCCATTTCAAACCCCCAACCTGGAGGACCAAGAGACTGAGTTTGTCTGACATCTCACCATTGACCAACCTGGTAGAAGTAGCTTTCAAGGTGCCCGAAGGCGTCACCCAGTATAGCTCAATGGGTCAATGAGGTACGCAAACCGTCGCACCACGTTAAGGTCCAGTCTCGTTGCGACGGTCGCTGCAAGGTTACATGGCACCTACTTGTTTTAGACCATTGATAAATGCAACTTGATCACAACGCAGTCCGTTACCGTTGAAGCGGATGCGTCCAAGACTGGAGAACGATCGTGGACTCCGATCATGCACTTGCATGTGTTGATCTGGAGGTGTGGTTCGGTGGACGCACACTGCGATGCGTGGGGCCGGATGTTCTAAACAGTTATCAAAGGGCACTGTCTTCCTGTCGCAAATCCGACTATCAACACTGGGTCTCTACGCTGTCTCTGAAACTTCTGGATGCTCGCCGATGCATTCCCGCTAAGAGCGAGACTGGAAAAGATCTGGGCAAAACAGCGTGCTGATATGATGAGAAGCCGTGAAGCCTGGTGATCATATCGTGTTTTGAAGATGAAAACTATAACTATCTTTGATAACCAACGGACGGGTAACGGACAGCATAGAACTAATGTTAGCGACACTATACACGACAAAACAGGATAGCCCATCCACATGTTAGAGTGTTTGGAGCTTTGGGCTGACCATAGTAAAAAAAATTTTATCAGCCGACACTGCTAGGCAGTGGTTGCTCTGCTTCCTGAGCCATCCCTTTGGATCCACCCTCTCGCGCAGCGATCGAACGTGTGATCAGACTGCTGTGGTTGAATGAAGCCGCGGGACCAAATATTCTTTCTCCTTTTTCATATCCGGTGAACCTGCTCTTGAGGATGATATACACGATCTATTCGTGAAAATGTGAGAGCAAGTAACTATCCCAACCGAATGCAGATGCTCCGCTATTGCCCCAACTTTTAAGGGAAGCTCACGTTCGGAATGCGGCAGTCATAGAGGTATATCAGCCTGGTCTCCATCGCCTCGAAGTTGCTTGCCCCTGTCGTTCTCCACAGATTGATTGGCGCCCGTAGAAGTCAGATTTCTGAAGAGCAAGTAAAGTTTTATCGAGATCAATGCTATGTTGACCACATTTTCACTTTAACTCGATTTTTGGAACGCCACCATTTATGTTGGAGCACTATCGTGTGTTCCTCGGCGTGTGTGTGTTCCTCGATGCGGTTTATATTGGACATTGTCTGCTCAAGAAAGGTGTGTCTAATGAATACGTAAACATCAGAACGCTTTTGTGTACTTTTAGGAGAGTTGGGGCTTATCTCAAGCGGTCGCCACCCTTCAATATCTTCAGCGGTGTGTGACAACTTTGTACGTTGTAACTCCGCATGTGACAAAGTGATGTGAACTACGTTCAACACACTCGACTTAAGTGTGGAATTGCTTCCAGTTGGTCGATTTCTTGTCTTGGAGCATGCTGACGATATTCACTTCTATCCAGCTCAGTTGAACAAGTATGATCTGGACATGGAAGTGCGGTGAATCCAGTTTACATAACTCGTAGTAACAGGACAACAAAAACCGTAGTGCGAAAATGAGGCAGATTGCAAGAAAGAAGTGCATATAGCTGATGGGGATGAAGCGAGTATTAACAACTAGGTACATGAAACCAAATGTAGGAAAGCCACTGACTACGCGATTGCGTCAAGTTCGAGCGTCCGCAACCGTTGCTGTGAGCCACCCCGAGCCCCCCCCCCCACCAATCGATGAGGACGGTGCGTGGTTGCCTGAGTAAATCTTTCAGTCAATTTTCACGTGCCCTTATGCCACATTCTCCACTACCCACCTCTCGGTTCCGCCCAGTTTGGTGCAGCGACGGCGTACGGGGTACACCGAGAAAGGTGGTCAGTCGGCATACGGAGGACATGGTCTAACAAACGTAGGCACTTAAGCTTTCCCATACATTCCAGTGAGGCACCAAAGAGTGTCATGACAATACTACTAGTGGACCTCTGCAATTGAGTACGCAACGGTCAGTCATCCTATTCTGCATTATTCAGACTATTATGTTTACATATGAGCCTTTCCTTATACACGATGTATTGATGATACATTTGTGTTGTTCTTTTTTATTTATTTAATCTTTCATAACATTTGCGTTTTTACTGAGTGGATTTATCTCAAGAGGCAGCCTTTTGGCCCCTTCATGTGGTCCTGGCATCGGACAGTTTCTTCCGTTCTTATGTCCCTAGCGTGCCATCTCAGTCGACCTGATTATGATCTTACCGTTTTGTCCTTATTTTTACTTTTTTCCCTCATTTCTGCCTTCTGTCTCACTCGCAGGAAATCAGTCTTCCCTTCCGTGTCATTCCGCTCGTTCGTGAGTTGGGCAAAACCAATTTGGACTTGCAAGTTGTGTTGAAAGCAAACTTCCGACCCAGTTTGTTTGCGCAAAAGGTTGAAGTACGCATTCCAACGCCTACGAATACAAGCGGTGTGCAGGTGATTTGCATGAAAGGCCGGGCGAAATATAAGGCTGCGGAAAATGCCATCATTTGGAAGTAAGCACTTGGGATCACGTTTCTTGTCCTCGATACTGATATCACTTTATGTTGTATTGTTAGGAATGGGGACGGGGCAGTACAAAACTTTTGTACCACATTGATTTCCCAGTAAACAAGCCAGTACCTTGACATTTCCTCCTCGGGTGCACACACCGCAACCAATTTGACTGGATCAAACGCAACAGTTTTGGACGAAATAATCCAGTGGATCGAGATATCAAACCGGTAATGCCATGTTGTTTGCCCGGTGGAGAGCAACCGCCTTCGACTGTTGGGACAACCCGTGTCCATAGCCATGCGGAAAACTAGTACTTATCGGCAATACGATGATTATGTACTTAAGTCATTCAGAAATGTTACTGTACGCAGGTTGTTCTCTAATAGCGCGAAATCTCTGTTCCCTCTACTCCCGGACGTCAACCAGGTATATTCCCCGAAGATGCATTATGCGTTGCTGACAATTATCTCATTATAACGTCGGAACGAATTCTGGTCTCGGTAGCCGTGACGTGGAATAAAATGGTAAACCTAAGTGAATTGTGAATCCATCGTTACATAGGTAATCGCAAGACAAAAACAGTAGGAACTAGAAAATAGAATAGGCGTTTAGAGGATGTAAGAATGAGTCGTAGGGTTTGTGTATACAAGGCGTGCAGCGCAATCGGTCTAGTATACGGGAAGCTTTAGTACGCATTTCCACAGTCTGACCAATGAGAAATGTTGCGGCAAACACTTTTTAGAAGTTTTGTCGGAAGCATCGTTTGTGGCTACTAGGCACAGTGTAGGTTCTGCGAGATAAGTGCTGGTAGCATAATAAAAATTATCCACAGCATTAACCTGATAGGCGGTCGACAGTGCGAAGAACTAAGGTTTGGCAGATAGCCTGATTAGGCGAACTTCAACGAAAGATTCACGCTTTGTTGCAACACTGGGTGTCACTCTCACCAGTGCGTCCACTGTTTCGCTGGAGGATGATTAAAATCCAATAAAATTGCATCGAAGTATTCAAGTCGTATTGAGAGAACATGGATGCCCAACTTACCAATGTGTCAGTGGTTCTACTAGCAAATGACTAGTGTACAAGCAGGTAAATTGAGGAAGTTATTAGTGAAGCGAACCAATTGGATTTCGAAGTCCAAATAACCAATTTGCCAGTGATTCTACTAACGTATGGTAACATTGGGACCGGATAAATTCTGAAGGAAGTATTTAGGACCAAGATGGCCTGAATGGAGTAAAAAAAGGCCCGAATCTCCAGCCTACCGATGTGCCAGTGGGGTCACTGGTTTGCGGTGAGCCTTCGGGCCAGGTAAAACTGAAGTGCTCAATAGACAAGAGATAAATGGAGGAACAGCAGCTGTCTTTTTTCTATACGACTGACATGATCATTTAGAACTTTGTGTTATATACTATTTGGATCTTACTCATGCACTTGAGGAATAGTTCTGCGATAGCCCGGAAACGTGCCTATCTTGCCGGCTGTCGAGTGTTAATCACCGTTTTTGCGTAAGTTGTAGTCCGATATTCAAGCAAGAATGGCAGCTGGTAATTTGTTCCCTATCCTGGAGTGTCGATTTATAATTTTTTTGCGCGTATTGTGCATCGTTGGCTTCGAAAGTAGTACATTGTCAATGTGTGTAGGTGTAGAGTATTGCAAAACGGCCCTAGGTTGACATTTAATCCTTGTAGCTATATTGCTCCAAGCTTAAGTAGTTTGCATCTATCACATTAGGATAACGTTAAGCATGTGCGTGTGAGGCAGTCGCTGCACTTCTGTGATGCGATAGTCATGCTTCCTTGCGTTTCTGTCAACATCGAGAAATATTCAAGTGAGGGGCGAGCATACGATTCATACATTAAACAAATCGAAACCCGTAGCGAGAATCTTTTGGATACTATACGATGCGCTACTTTGCCCTAGCTGTTGCATACTACACTATTACTGAGCAGTTAAGGAGCATGAGTACCGAAGCCCTAGGTCACGAATAGTTTGACAGCGATATGCTTTTTGAGCCAAATATTGATCACATGTGCTCACCTCATCTGTCACGGCTTATTCCCGCACTTAAAGTTTGCCGGAGCAGTTACACAGTTTTATTACTTAAGCTTACACCCAAATGAAACAAACAAGCGAGGTCGTGTGCCAGCAGTCCCGCTAAAGAAGAATAGTCTTCATCGAGCTACCTTCCAAAGATGACCACGTTATGAAGGTCACTGAAAAACGAAGAAGTGTTTCACTCAACGGAGAGTAAAATGAGACGTAATTGCGGCTGCTCACATCGACGTGAGCTATGCTTAAGGGTTCGATTAAGACACTGCAACTGTGAGTACAGCTACCTTAGACCCACTGACAGAAGTCTAGATGTCAGAATTTATGTACACATCCTAAAGTGGTTACGCAACTGGATGGGGTTTGTGACGACTGAATCAGTTCAATCGGGAAACCGAGCTGCTTCGGCAGTTAAAAAACACTTGTTTACCACCGGGCACAGAATGCATCCTTATGTGTCGTTCACACTGCTATTGCGCGATCGGCGGCCCCACACGCTTAGGCTACTGGGGACAATCGCTATCGATCGCGAAACACCGCCGCTGTGCATTGAAAAACAAGTGCATGTGGATTTAAGTCTACCTTGGAAAAGCAAATGCTTGGCTATTTACGATTTCTTTGACTCTGTGGTTGTTCGTTTACGTATCATTGTTACATTTTTTGTGACTCATAAGAATGCACGAAATGACATCGTCATCACACAATCTACATCTTCTGATTTCCCGTGTTATTACTTGAAAGGCTGTTTAATCAGCCAGAGCTACCAGCTTATCCATCGGCCATTCATGGGCCATCTCCCTGGGTCGTCCCCTTGTCTCCACCTTCCCGCTCAGAAGTCGAACATTTGATCAGACTTCTGAAATTGTGTGAGGCCGCAGAAGCAGATAGAATTCCCCCAATTCACCTGAAATTTAGGGGAACATCTCATGGAAGCAGGAAACTGTGCCAATAGACTAGAGCCGCTCCCTTATAGTCTTAGTTTTCAAGGGTTGCTGCAATCATAGAGGCATCCGTTTGGTCTAATTTGCCAACTTACTTGCGTAGATTATGTGCAACTCGCGAATGCCGTTTACGAGGTGAAAGTCGGTTTTCGTCGAGCGCGATTGAATCAGACACATTTTCACACTACGTCAATTGTTGAAACCCCGCCATGTTTATTGGCGACCCACCGTTGTCGTGTTTCTCGATATGAAAGGTGCCTTCGGTTCGGTTGATCGACATGCCCTTCGGGATTGTCTCTTGAGGATAAGTATGCCCGAAATATATGTTAACACTTTCTAAGCACTTTACACGTTTATTTCTGACAGAGTGTGGGTTTACGGCAAGCTGTCGTCACCCTTTAATATCTCCAGCGGTGCGAGACAAGGATGCCCTTTTTAACTTATCCATGGACGTAGTCATGGAAACTGCGTTCACTTGACACGGCCTACAAGGTGTAAAGCTGCTCCCAGGTGAGCAAATTCTTGACTTCGAGCTGGCGACATTACCTTATCTGTGATTGCTCCCAAACATGCCAGGCAGCACTGGAAAAGTTCTCATCAACTGTCAGTGATTTCGCGCTATGCTTTGCACCCTCAAAAGGCAATTCCTTCTACCAGATTGCCAACAACACCCCTTCGCTGACCTTTATTGGTAATCAGCTAGAGTTCATCGAGAAATTCAAGTACCTATATCAATGCTGTCGGAATAGAAGATTAGGTCACGAACCGTATAACAAAAACTGGAGGCGCTTTCGGCAATCTCCGCCACCTGTGGCGCCTACGCGACATCGTTCTCCTCTTGAAGAGCAGAGTTTGCAATACAGCCGTGTTCAGCACTCCAGTACAGTTGCGAAACCTGGCCCATCAAATCGACAGACATAAAGAGCCAATTTAATCTCGATACTGGCTGACTTCGTAGTTTAGCTGATGTCTGGTGGGAACACCACATGAGCAGTGAGCGTGTTGGGTGTCGAGTATTTGGTTCAAGAAGAGCGAGTGTACCGCTCAGCACCGATATTTCACGCCCTAGGCTCCGATGGCTGGACGTGTTGCGCATGTCAGCATACCGACTCCTGCGTCGTGTGTTGCTTGCGCGACCGGAGTGTGGATGGAAGAAGAGGAGGAAAGACTAACTTATGACTTGATCAAGAAGAATGAAGCCCCTCACTTCTAACTTGGCATCGGTTGGTGCATCCCGACTGCTGCGCTGGGGTCCGAAGGACGATGAACACGTTTGGTTGGAATACACTTGTTGTCATGGCGAAGAGCCGGCCCAATTGGCGTTTTTGTTATGAGTTTCTTTGTCCCTCCCCATCCCACTATTCTACCCACTCCAACCGCGGTCGCAGTCTTGAAACATGTTACTGAGCAGTATTTTATCTGTTGTTTTTTTGTATCCTGCGGTCTATCACGTTTCTGCCTTCATACATCGAGTATTTTTTGATTGCGTCACAATAGTTGAACTATGTTTCTCAGCTTTCGCTACTGTGTAATGATAATGTTGAATTTGAGTGTGAAAACTTCTGGTTTGTCGTGAAAATGGCAGTTCATTGCTTCCTTGAAAATACTCCAGTCCCCCTATTACAATTTATGGAATCCTTAGCGCAAACATAAAATGTTGTATTGGTAGCCACCGAGACGTTTGCGAGAATGAAACCCCCGAAATCTGTCTGGTGCGTTATCATCTGTCCAACGTATCTACGACATGTTGAAATCCTCTGCGACGAGCTTATGCTCAAATGACGAATCTATAATGGTTTCGAAAGCCGCTAACGGGTATAATATGTAATCTAACTGAAGGTGGACTCCAAACGTAACGTAGGAAAAGCTACTGGTTCTGAATGGGAATCATGGTCCAGATGGAATCCTCCATGTAGGTTATGTGTGAAATCGGAGGTTGTTGTTGTTTTAGATGATTCCCTCACTATGATGCAGCTTCCGCCACAGTGGTGCTGTCTGCTCTTTCAATTGCTCTTTTATTATATCCGAAATATGACATCTTTCCATCTGAAGTATCATCAGTGATTCAGGGATTAATATAACATTCAACATGGTGGAGCGAAACGTGTGCATTTTGGATGAAAGAATGTATATTAACATGAGTAGTTGACGATGTGCTTCTGCTGGACATTTCTGATAGTACTACACAATTCAATGTATCACACGCCCAGGGAGTGATGTCGAGACTTAGGTGGCTATTCTCAACACCAAATTTTCTGCTGAATGGTGTTGGTTTCCTTTGACCAACTGGTACAACGTCAGCTTCAATGTTTATAGGTTACGTGACTGCATAATACAGAACCTTGTTTGTTTCTATTGTGATTTGTACTTTTGTGTGTGTGTATAAGAGGGGTTTCCTTTTGTGTCAACGACCTTGACTCCTGCACCTCGCAGATTGCCTGGCAAATTTCCTGAGTAGTCCACTGCATCCGACTGTATATTGTTCATCGGGGCTTCAGAAGCATCACCTGGAACAAACGTAAATGTGTGCGTCCATATGATTATTGTCCGGCTTCCTTTAGGCACCCCGGGGAACAGCCTACCAAACGAAGCATGCCTATCTACAAACATGTTAAGAGCTCTAGCATCTTCTTGCGATATACATCTCGGTGAACACTAGTTGCCAGCGAGGATTCGTCAGAAATACCAGTTGTTGTGTGGTGTCATTTCATAAGCTTGATGAGAACAATGAAGTACCTTTCTCTACTGCTTTGTGTTTCATATTGTCCTGTGCAGTAAGCTCATAGCTTACCGGAGCACTTGGTGACTTGGTTTATGCAACCAAAGATTTCTCTTTGCTCAGCCAATACCAATTGGGCCAACATTGATCTGTTCAATTGACCCAGTGATCATAATCTTACACCAGTCTTTCTAGTCGGATCCCTAACTTTTCTCAAAATTATACTCAGCAGTACAGTTGATTTTGTTCTATTTTACTATTTTCACCAGTTTTCTCTGTGCGAATTTTTTTACAGTCTATTCTTGTGGCTCCATGTTTTTCCCACCGAGCCCGTCTTAACTTGGCCTTGCGGCCTTATCTTCTGACTGGTTGTAGCTTCTGCTGGTTCTCCGTCCTTCACCCCGCTGGTTACCATCACCAGTTTCAATGAGCTAAATGGGAATCATTGGTAACGCTGGCCGTTATTGTCATTATTGCAGTTTTATACTCATGCTAACTGCCGTGAACCTAACTGACAGTTAATTTGCTCGCGTGATGCTCTCCGTTGTCAACTGCGATTGCGATGGTTGCTGCTGGTGTCTTGGTTGTTGTGCTTATTTGCGTGTTAACACTTATTCATCGAATAGTATAGACCGTCGTAGTCTTTGTTTGTCAGCTTTTTATCTTTTCTGTCACTTTTTACACCGCAGAATTCGACGCATATCGGGTATGAAGGACTGCAAACTCTCCGCGCAAATAGAGCTGTTACAAGCTTCGGAGAAACAAAAGCGGTGGACTCGCCCTCCGATATCAATGAACTTCGAGGTATTTGCTGTTTTTGTTTGTGGCTGCTTTTCTCCTTTCACTTTCCTGTTTCTGTTCGTTCATAGCACGTTTTCACATTTACGTCCTCCGTTTCTTCGTGGCCTCGCAATAAGGTTGGACCTTACCGTGCTGCGATGGTTTGCATGCCTCAGCGATCCATTGAGCTATACTGAGTGGTGCATTTGCACCTTCTGAGCCACTCATACCAGATTGGTCAGTGGTTAGAGGCCAGACAAACTTAACCTCCAGGTTGGAGACTGGAATGAGGGTGGCTCCTTATTCCTTAAAACGGATTCCTTGTAGTTCATTGCCAAACCCACTGTCTTGCGGTCAGGTTTATGGACCTTAGTCGTTCTCCTGTCTAGGCCTGGGCAACTTGACAGTATCCCGCCCACGCAATACTATACATCTTTCCCAAACAATATCCTGATGCTCTGGCCACCCCACAGGCTAATCGACGGCACCCTATCTGCTGCATTGAGCATGGTGGATAGGGGTTTGAATGCTACTGCTCAAACCTTCCCGTCTTCTTATTCCTCTTTTACACTTTTTACCCTTATCGTCTCGTTCTAACTTCCTTTTATTCCCCCTGTTTTCAATCACCCGATTCTTGACCCTCCTCCATCTTGCTTCCATAGTCGCTTGTCTTTCAGTTACAACTCACATGTGAACGCGGAGCGTCATTCCTGCCCTGTGAATAGGCCCATGTTCAACCAAGCGCTCAAATCCAGTTCATCTGCATCTATTTGGAGCCCCCGATCCCCCCTCAGATTGGCATGCCTCAGTGTAAGCACATTGTTACAGATCGGTCAACAGGCTGTACTTGCCTGAATGTTAGAGACCCTCTCGATCAGTATCTGCTGCTTATCAGAGACACGCCTGCAAGACTCGAGCTCTGTGCTGACTCTGCGACCCCCTTCAGGTGCCACCAGCAGCACTTTCTCATTGCGCCAACCCAGTAACGATGTAGCTTCGAGTACCGGCCAAGGCGGTATTGGTATTGCCTTGAGTCCCCGGGCTGAAGCTGCTGTGATTGATTGGATCCCAATTAGTAGCCAGATGTGTGCGGTCCGACTGGCTTGCTCGTTCACAGCTTCGAAGTCGCGCGGGGCTAATAGATGTCTGTTTATCATCACTTCATACGCCCCCCACAAACTGTAGCGATGAGTCGGTAAAAGACGACTTCTATCTTCAACTGAAGTAGCTGCTACGCCACAGAAGAAGCACGGACACTAGTCCTGCCTGGGGATCTGAACGCTCAAGTTGGGAAATTGACCACTGTGCGGCCAACATGGTGTAGGCTCCCGTAATGATAACTGTGAGCGGTTACTTGATTTGTGTGACGATGCTCGCTTTTTTTCTTGCGAGCACTAACTTCCGACGCAGCATCCCTCGGAAGGTGACATGGCGCCCACCAGTCTCGAAGCAGCTATGGACGCAAATCGATCACCTTGCGATCAGTTATCGCTGGAGAGGCTGTGTCTAAAACTGTCATTCGACTTGGAGCACATGTGTGGACACTGACCATGCACTTTTATGTGTTGATTTTTGGGTTTGTTTTGGCGGTCGCCCTCGACGACCTTGTGCGCGCATAGACACCAGCCAACTGACGAAGCCATGTGTTCTGAATGCGTATCGAAGTACGCTAACATTCGAGTTGAGCAAGCGCTCACCGAATACAGTTGAAGGTCGTTGGTCACATGTTCACCAGACCTTACTTGAAGCAGGTAAATCATATTGTGGTAAGTCCACTAGCCAAAATAGACATTGGATCTCTTCGCAGTCTCTGGAAGTTATCGATGCTCGCCGGCACATCTCGGCTGGAAGCGAACACAATGAGACTCACAAAAACATCACGGCAAAACTCCGTGCTAGGCTTAAAAGAGACTGTGAAATGTGTTGGTCTCAACGTGCGTCAGAGATGGAAGTGGCCGCTGCTCTTGGTAGCCATCGGAAGTTGTTCCGTCTGATACGAGGAACGGGCAACAGGAGAACTGGTCTTGGTACATCAATACGCGACGAGAGTGGACAACCTATCCTCAACTTGTCAAAATCTTTGGAGCTTTGGGCTGAGCATTTTGAAAAGCAATTTCATCGGCCAGAATTGTTAGATCCCTCACCGTCTACTGATCGCCCTGCTCCCTGCCCTGTCCCTTTGGATCCGCCCTCTCGCTCAGAAGTCGAACGTGCGACTGGACTGTTGCAGTTGAATAATGCCACGGGACTAGATGATCTTCCTCCAGCCCTTTTCAAATTCAGGGGCCCTGCTCTTGTTGATGATTTACAGGAATTACCAGTGAAACCGGGAGCAGGAAACTGTCCCAACCGACTGGAGCCACTCCGTTTTTGTCCCGATCTTGAAAAGCGGCTCGCGCTCAGAATGCGGCTGTCATAGAGGACTCAGTCTGATCTCCATGGCCTCCAAATTGCTTGACTCTGTAATCCTTCACCGACTGACTGGCATCCGTGTAAGCCAGATTCGTGAAGAGCAAACCGGGTTTCGTCGAAGTGGTGGCTGCATTGACCGCATATTTACATTACGTCAGTTGTTGGAGCACCGTCACACATATTGGTAGCCCACCGTTATGGTGTTCCTCGACATCAAAGGTGCCTTCCATTCAGTGGATCGACGTGTCGTTTGGGACTCTCTGCTAAAGAAATCTGTGCCCGAGAAGTGTGTAAATATTATGCGAGCGCTTTACGCGGATAGCTCGGGTAGAGTGAGGGCTTACCTTAAGCTGTCGCTGCCCTTCAATATCTCCAGCGGCGTGAGACAAGGATGCCAGCTGTCACCTTTCTTCTTTACCTTCGCTGTTGATGAAGTCATGGAAATCACGTTCACAGGTGTGGAGCTGCTCCCAGGTGAATGACTTCTTGACTTGGAGTATACTGACGATATTAATCTCATCTAGTGTAGCTCATGAACGTGCCAAGCGACACTGGACAGATTAGCGCTAGTTGTCATCTGTTTCGGCTATGCTTTGCACCCTCAAAGTTCAAAGATTTCAAGATTGGGAGCGACCGCCTCCTTGGTGGTGATCAGCTAGAAGTCGTCCAAAAAATGCAACTGTCTAGGTAATTGTGCCAGCGCCCTTCGAATTGAAGACGAGATTACCAAACGTATAGCATAAGTGCCTCGAGCTTTTGTTAATCTTCGCTACCTATGGCGCCGGCGCGACATTACTCTCTTTTTCTGAAGAGTAGAGTATACACTGCAGCCGTACGTTCGACCACACTGTACGGTTGTAAAACCTGGCCCTCTAGATCAGCAGACCTAAAGAGGCTACTCACGTCCGACCACCGGTGCCTTCGCAGTTTGGCTCATATCTGATGGGAATACCGTGTGAGCAGTGAGTGTGTTCGACGCCTTGTTTTGGCGCAGGAAGAAGAAGCGAACCGCTCAGCACCGTTTTTTCACACACCAGGCTCCGATGCCTAGGCCACATGTTGCACATGCCAGCTCACCGACTTCCTCGACGTGCGTTGTTTGCGCGACGGGGGTGCGGATGGAAGAAGAGGTGTGGTGGCCAAGCGATAACTTGGTCAAGAGGAATGATGACCCTTGTTTCGAAGTTGGCCTCGGTTGGGGACCGAAGGACAATGAACACGTTTGGTTTTCTACACTTGCTGATATGGCTAGGAGCAGACCACAATGGCGTTTATGTTGTTAATTCCTTTGTCCATTCCCCTCCGCTTAGCCTCCCCCTCCAACCACGACCTGAAATGATAGGTATTATATGACTTTTTACGGCACAATAGCCGGCTGTTACCTCTCTGGAACGTTGTCCATCCGTTACTGGTAACTCAGTCAGCCTGCTCTGTTTCACACTTGTTTTTTTTCTATTGCGGCACCATAACTGATGTGTTTTCCACCTGCGTGTATATATGAATAAATGTATGTTTTTGCCCGGCAAATGTCAGATAGGCTGCTCCGCCCTTTTTGATTTGTGCTCTGGATTTTTGTCTACTGTCTAGAAATTATTAATTTTCACGCTTACATATCTGGATGCTATTCATACGGTACCTCCTCACTTGTTTGCCTTATTTCATTCCCCATTACCCTCAAGCTTTGTCCTTGCCACTGTTGTTTCATTCGTAATATTTACTCCTCTCTACCCTCAACACACCAATGCTTGGATCTAGCGCTGATTGCTGCGCTGTAAAACAACTAACTCCTGTTTACCATGCAAATCAATACTTCGCGCTGCATCGCATGTGTATTGTCTTTGGTGTTCCACTGAGAATTCGTTGCGTATATGTATTATGTAGATGGTTTTCTTTAGGTCCGACGTATTCACATCCATCCTCCGGCATTATTTTTCGAAAAGGTGACATCTATCACGTTTTGTATGAGATGATATTCACTTATTTGCAATTCCATTGGTACTAAACGGAGGGGATCGATGAATATTTTGGTCCAATAAACGTGCGACATTATCAGATTGATCCAGGGTGTTCGTGGGTAAACCGCAACGCTTGTGACAACCAGCGATTCCTTTCTACTACCGGGGTAGAATATTCGACTTTTCATCTGGCCATCTCAATCGCGAGCCAGTTTTCACCCAGCTCATTATCTTTATTTCACGGTACCAATGAGCTACTTACATTCGCTGCCAAATATTCTGTAATTAATTGGTATATTCTCAACTATGTGGGACACGGCCCAGCAAAACTGATCCGATCATAAGATGCAAAATAGTGAAGACTGGATCTACATGACTGCTGTATCAGACCTTATGTACTTCCTTTTCCATTGATCCTTGCACCGTTAGTTCCGTTCCACAAGACTTTGGAATGGACGACAGTTGCGAATCGTTCAGGTACGTCTAGGTGGAGTGTAGTAAAAGGAGAAAAAGAAACACGATGATTAGAAAGGTAAATTTACAATATGCACATGGAAAAGTGCGTCTAAACACAAACGTTGGTACTGATTTTAAAAATGGGTAGTCTATGAACAGACATGAGAACACTTCAACAGTAAGCAGTTCGATTGAGAGTTG